CAGCCTTGTACTTTCCCTCTTTTATGCTGTACCCTTTCCATCTCCATCTGCCAAGACCCTGTCCACCACTCAAACGCTAAATTCCCAGCGTGGTCTGAATAGACCCATCCTTTCCCACTTAATCGAATCTCTGAGCTTGCTCCTTTCCACCTTTAGGTAAGCAATCATAAATATTATTTTTGAAATTCATTACTTATGTTTGCCGGTCTTCCCCATTATCATATGAATTCCTACAAGCCAAAAGCATATCTTGTTCCTGTGAATTCCAGACAGTCACAATGCCTTGCAACTAACAGATCTAAAACACGGTGAGTTAGGACAGCCAGATACTAGCAGGGAACAGAAATAGACATGTTGAACAATAAAATCAACTTTTAAAAACTCAATATTCTGAAAAAACAACAGGAAAACAACCCAATTAGAAAAATGGCCAGAGGCGCCTGTGGCTCAGTTAAGCGTCTGACTTCAGCTCAGGTCCTGATCTCAGTTTGTGAGTTCGAGCCCCGCAGAGCTCTGTGCTGCCAGCTCAGAGCCTGGAGCCTGTTCAGATTATGTGTCTCCCTCTCTCTACCCCTCCCCTGCTCGCCTGTGCGCGCTCACCCGCTCTCTCTCAAAAATAAATAAACCTTACAAAAAGAAAGATTTTTTTAAAAAGGCCAAAGACTTTACCAGACACTTCACTAATGAAGATACGTGGATAGCAAATAAACACATGAAAAGAAGCTCCATAGCATATGTCATCAGAGAAATGCGTATTGAAACAATGAGATACCACCGCACACCTTTTAGAACGGCCCAAATCCGGAACACTGACACCACCAAATGCTGGTGAGGGTGTGGAGCAACGGGAACTCTCCTTCACCGCTGGTGGAAACGGCCACTCTGGAAGATAATTTGGCAGTTTCTTTCAGAACTAAACATATTCTTACCATACGATCCAGCCATCATACTTCTTGGTATTTACTCAAAGGAGGTGAAAACTTATGTCCACACAAGAGACGACACAAAAGGTGTTAAAACAGCTTTCCTCACAGGTATGAGGACTAAGGACTAAGGTGTCCTTTTGAGTGTCCTTCAGAATGAAGGAAGGGTTGACTAAATGGTGGAACATCTAGACAATGGAATTTGTTCAGTGCTAAAAAGAAATGAGCACGGCGCCTTGCTGGCTCGGTTAGTAGAGCATGCAACTCTTGATCTCAGGGTCCTGAGCTGGGAGCCCTGCACTGGGCACAGAGATTACTTAAAAATCAAACAAATAAAACTTGGAAAAAGAAATGAGCTACCAAGCCATGAAAGGACATGGAGGAAACTCAAATGAATTCTTACTAAGTGAAAAAAGGCAGCCTGAAAGGGCTCATACTGCACTGCATGATTCCAACTACATGACAATTCTGGAAAAAGCAAAACTATGGAGACGGTGTAAAAAAAAAAAAAAAAAAAAAAAGCAGTGGTCGCCAGGGGTTAGCAGTGAGCGAAGGAGGACGAGGCAGAGCACACAGAATTTCTAGAACAGTAAAAACTACTCTGAATGGGGGCGCCTGGGTGGCGCAGTCGGTTAAGCGTCCGACTTCAGCCAGGTCACGATCTCGCGGTCCATGAGTTCGAGCCCCGCGTCAGGCTCTGGGCTGATGGCTCGGAGCCTGGAGCCTGGAGCCTGTTTCCGATTCTGTGTCTCCCCCTCTCTCTGCCCCTCCCCCGTTCATGCTCTGTCTCTCTCTGTCCCAAAAATAAAAAAATAAAAAATAAATAAAAAAACGTTGAAAAAAAAAACAAAACTACTTAGCATGGTGGATCTATGTCATTATACATCTGTCCCAAACCCACAGAACACACACCACCAAGAGTGAACCCTAATACAAACAATGGACTTGGGTGACAATGACGTGTCTATGTGGGTTCATCAACGGTAACAAGTGTTCTACGCTAGCGGGGGATGTTGCTAATGGGGGAAAGTGTACCGGAACTCCCTGTACCTACCACTCACTTCTGCTGTGAGCAGAACGGCTCTAAAAAATAAAGTCTATTAAAAAGAAAAAGCTCACGGGGCACCTGCGTGGGTCAGTCGGTTAAGCGTCCAGCTCTTGGTTTCGGCTCAGGTCATGATCTCATGGTTTTGTGTGTTTGAGCCCTGCACTCTCAGCGCTGAGCCCGCTTGGGATTCTCTGCCTCCCTCTCTGCCCCTCCCCCACCTGCGCTGTCTCTGTCTCTCTCAAAATAAAAATAAACTTAAAAAAAAAAAAAAAAGACTTTAAAAAGAAAAGGCTCAATATTGGGTTCCAGTACTGGATCCAACTTATTTTTAAGTATTTTTAAACACATGTTGTCTCCACATTAAGAAGCAAAACAAAATTCACAAAATTACTAGGAAAGATTTTATTAGCAACAGAATACCACAAATCAGTTCTGTAGAAAACATACATATGCTCGAAAGCAGCTGAATTCCACCAAATAATTCAATAATTCTAGTATAACATATACTGAACAAACATCTACAGAACATTTTGTATGCATTTTTACTTTTTTTTGGCTCTTTTCAGTAAAGACTAAGAATTATGATGCACATAGAAGCTGCCAGCGGACTCTGGAATCCCCAGCCTTGTAGTGGCTGCTCTTTCAAAGTTAACTCAAACATTTTTGAAGTTCCAAGCACTTTTAAAAAGTTGGGCTGGGAAGGGAATGCAAGGGCAGAGAGATGACCCGCTTCCTGACCTCAAAGAGTCGCGTTCTAGGAGACACATAATCAAGGGCAGAATATGAGACACAAATAAATGCTACAAGAGAAGATAAATGATGTGGGAGAAGGAGAAATGAAAAAGTCACTAGAAAAGATGGCATTTAAGCTGAGGAAGGTGTGAAATTTGAGAAGCTGAAAGAAAGCAGGTGCCGCGCCCAAGGCTCCAAGCAAAAGAGCAAGAAGTACATTTCCAAGAAACTGGGCCCAGCAGTGGGGGAGCTTTCTGGAAGAGCTGAAGCACAGTTGAGTCTGGACAGAACAGACGTAGACTCTAGAGACCGCTGACCTAACCTGGGGAAGTCAGTCTTCCTTCTCAAGAAAAACGAGGAGTCCCTGAACATCTTCATGGTCAGAAGACAATGTTTATTTCCTCTTTAATCAAGAAGAGGAGTCTATCCCCCAAGAACAATATTTTTTAAGTGTATTTTAATTATTGCTGTCTTGCGACCTGGGAACACCTCGGTAGTAGGTTGTGGGGGAAAAAAGGGGGTCAAAAATTACAGGATGGAGAGAACGCAGACTTCTCCGGTGGCGTTTAACGCACTTAGAGCATCCCGCGGGCATTAACTTGAGCTGGGCTTGACATCCCCCGGTCGCTGACCCAGACAGTCAAAGCTCACGAGAGCTTCTTAAAATCTGCTGGTTCTTTAGGATATTTTGAGAATCAACTGAAGTTCAGAGTTTCCGAGAGACCTGGGTTTTATCCTAAAGGACCCGGGTTCCTCCAAACACTTCTCAAACTGCCAATTTGAAAAAAGGTTAACAGCGAGCATGGACCCCGCTGGCGCTGAGCACAAACACCGCCGCCCCCACCGCCCCGCAGAAGTCAACTAGTAACAAAGTGACGGTCCTCAGGTGGGCAGGGGGGACACGGAAGGCAGATTACCAGCCGCTCCAAGACGTCCTGCGGTTCCACGCCGCACTTTTCCACTCCCCGCGCCCCCACTCACCCGAGCCAGGCCCAGGAGCATGTGGAGCGCACGCCGGCGCAGGAGCGGCCCCACGGCCCCGCAGGCCCGGCCGGGGACAGGCCGGCCAAGGTCTCCACCGCCCCGGAGAACGGCGCGGGCGGGACGCCGGCGGGGAAGTCGTGGGGGGTGGACCCCGCAACGCCTCTCCGCCGCCATGTGCTGCCGCTCTGCCGGGAGGTGGTTATGTAACCCGCTGCCGGAGGGCCCCCCCCCCC